CTGGCCGCCAGCACCTTGGCCGCCACGCCGGGCCCGGCGAGCTCGGGGTGCAGGCGCAGGTGGCGCGCCAGGCTCTTGGGCTGGCTGAAGCCGCGGCCGCAGCGCGGGCACACGAAGGGCTTGAGGCCGCTGTGCGAGCGCCGGTGCTTGGCCAGGCTCTTGCTCTGCGTGAAGCTGCGGCCGCAGTCGGCGCAGGCGTAGGGCTTCTCGCCCGTGTGGATGCGCTGGTGCTGCATGAGGTTGGAGCTCCAGCTGAAGCGCTTGCCGCACTCGGCGCAGGCGTAGGGCTTCTCGCCCGTGTGGATGCGCCGGTGCTGCACCAGGTGCGAGCTCTGCGAGAAGGTCTTGCCGCAGTCGGCGCAGGCGTTGGGCCGCTCGCCCGTGTGCGTGCGCTGGTGCCGCGTCAGCTTGGACCAGTGGCTAAAGCTCTTGCCACACTCATTGCAGATGTAGGGCGCGGGCGGGCGCGACCGGGGCGGGGGCCCGGCGGGGGGTGCGGCCGGGGGCGGCGCCAGCTTGGTGGGGGACCAGCTGGGGACGTCGTCGTCGTCGTCCATGATGAGGATGTCCACTGCAAGGCAAGCGGGGAGAGGCGAGTCAGGGCTCCCGGAAGGAGTCCCCGCTCGTCCGCTGCTCGGCCCTTCCCCAAACCGGTCACAGCACCCACCGCAGAGGACGGCACACCCCAGACGCTAAGGCCCGTGGGTTCAAACCGCCAAGCAGTCGGTTCGCAACCCAGTGCTTCAAACACTGTGCCACCAGCGGTCCTCAAAACTGGAGCAGTGCTCCTCAGAGACGTCCCAGGCCTGCAGTACTCAGAGACCTCTAGAAAAGGGGTGCTCCACGCCCCACCCCGGGTCCACCCAATGGGAAACCCTGGGGGCGGGCCAAGCGAGGCTCCTAGACCCAGCCCTCCCCTTGACTGTCAGAAGCCCATGTTTGAGACCTAAGGCACTTGACTGCTAACCAGAAGGTTGGAGGTTCAAACCCACCAGCTACTCCAGGGAAGGCAAACGGAACAATCTACTTCCGTAAAGATTTACCGCCTGGGAAACCCAGTGGGGGTTATGAGTCGGTTTGGCTTTTTTTTACTCTCGGGGTCAGAAGCTCCGGCGGTGTACTGGTTAAGACATCCGGCTGCTAACCGGGCTATCAATGGTCAAACCCACCAGCTATCCAGCTGTGAAGGTTCACAGCTTTAGAAACCCAACGGGGTGGCTGTGAGCGAATCAGCTAGACAGACGGACGGACGGCAGCTCGTGTGGTCTTCTGCAGGTTTTGTCTAGGGCCGCGTCCCGTGGGAGGGCAAACAGCCTGCGCTCAACACCAACCCCAAGTCTGCCGGTGGGGACCCCACCAGGCGCAGCACGGGTCTTCCGGGCCATCTGCTTCCCTGAACGTGACAGCCCCGAGCTGGAGTCCGCTTGTCGGCAGCGGGGTGTTGGGGGCACTATGGGGCAGAGTTCATCCAGACAGGAGCCCTGGTGAGGGAGTATCTAGGCACCTGACTGCCAACCAGAAGGCTGGCGGTTCAAACGCTGCAGCCACCCCGCGGAGGGAAGGAAGACGCTGCCAGCGGTACCACCTCGGGAACCCCACGGTGGTTGCCAGGAGTCCGAATACGCTTGATGGCAGTGGGTCTGTTTTTGTCTGGTTTTATCACCTGGGGCGGGAGGGAAATCCAAACAGGGAACCGGAAGAGGGAGGGCACAGACCACGATAAGGAGGCATGACTTGGAGACAGACAGACAGACCGAGCAGACGCGACAGGGAAACAGAGCTCCTGGCTGCGGGGGCTGCCGCAGTCTGGGCGCTGTGCTCCTGCGCCGGGTCCCCAGTTGTCAAGACAGAAAGGGCGGTGACGATAAAGACACGTGGGAGCCCACTGCGAAGAGCTCAGTCCCAGCACAAAATTAGAAACCCGTTCTTGGCGTATTTACAGTGTCCAGGCCACAAACAGGAGGGGCTGTGTGGAGGGGCCGGGGCGCTCCCAGGGCCCAGCCTGTGGGCGGGAACCAGGCAGAGCGCAGCCCGGTTGGAGGGGCTGCCGCCTGGGGACGACCCGGAAGCCGGAGGCTCTGCGCGGAGGCTGTGGCCGCCGGCGTTTTCTAACTACGGAAGCCGGAGGCTGGTGGGCTGCCGACAGTGAGGACTGCTCTGTGAACCTCCCTGCCGATCCCAGTGCACGCTGCCATGACGGGCGACAGTGGGAAGGGCAGGGCGGGTGCGGCCCCCGGGGCACCCACCATCTCCCTCTGCATCAGGGTGCTGCACGCGGAGGGCCTGCCAGCTACAGCCCGGAAGCAGAGTCGCACAGCGGTCCCCACGGGGTCTGGGGCTGCTCCCACACGACGACAGCGGCAGAGCTGCGAGGAGACAGACCGTGTGGCTGCGGCCGGGGCCCCTTCCCGTGAGTCCGCAGGCCCCGTGCCAGCGTGGGGCCCCCAACAAGTGACTCCCGGGAACACAGCCTGAGATGACGGGACAGAGGGCTGGGTGTCGGTGAAGGTGTCAGTGGGGCTGCGGGGTCCCCCAACAAGTGACTCCCGGGCCACGTGCCCGGAGGAGGGCGGGTCACACTCACCTGGGTTCTCGTGGCTGGCCATCTGCTGGTCTTCAGAGTCCAGCGGCCCCGGAGACCAGGCCTCCTCCCGCAGCTCCATGTCGGGGTCCCTTCTGGAACAGAGAGGGGACACGGAGTTGACAGGCGTCCAACAGGGCCCCGAGAGCCAGGCCACACGGGCCTGGGCCACCAGCCGACAAGCCGCGCCACGAGGCCCTGAGGGCAGATGAGTCGAGGCGCCCTCCCTCCCCAGGAAGCAGCGGTGGTTCACCGAGGTGGCCCAGGGCTGCACCGGGCGCCTGGCCCCACCACAGGCCGCTGCGTGCCTCACTGTGCTCGACTCCACGAGGGCCCGTGGCACCAAGGGCAACGCTGTGCCTCAGCTGCCCCAGGCCCACCTCCGGTGTCCACGCCGTGTGCCCCGAGCCCCGGCACTGACCACGTGGCATCGGTTACAGCATCGTAGGGCGGGTCTCCAGGGGCACAGAGTGCACCCGCTACTGAAGACGGGCAGTCCCCACGGACTCAGCGGCGCCCCCTAAGGGAGGCCGGGGACCTAGGCCGTCAAGATGACAGCAGAGCAGCTGTGCTCCGCGGCAGCGGGGTCCCACTTGGTGGCAACCGGTGGGGTGCCAGGCGCCAAGCGACGACCGTGACACGGAGTGTGACGTCCAACTGCAGGCAGGTGTCCCATGACATCAGAGCGCAGCCGGCCAGTGAAGAGCCTGAGAGGCTGAAGTCCGCGGGCAGCTGGGCGACTCCAAAGG